ATAATGTAGAGGACATTTCACTAGGTTCTCTGGGCACGGCATGGTGCAAGGCAGTTGTACCGCTTCGCATCCCGCTGCGCCGGAAAAAGTACTGCATGCTCAGTACTTTTTTTCAGTGCACACCACCACCACGCGGTAGTATGAACTGTGACAAATTGCCTTGTCTTGCATTGGGGCTGCACCGGAAAAAAAATGCCGCAGCCTCAATGCATCTGTTGGGAATGGGCCCTTTTCACTTTGGTATTCTTTGCGAAACAGCCAGAGCAAAAAGCATTTTCCTTGTCGGCAATCTGCAGATCAGGACACTTTATCCCTGTCAAAGCTCTCCAATCAGCCACAAGTATGAGCTTTCTGAATAGTTCAGTTGGACTTTGATGTTGGATTTATGTTCGTTATCCGCACTGGGATTCAGGACAGGGGTTTTGGTCTTGAAAAGATGTAAACCTAAAATAATTCCCCCAGTATATGTTCTGTCCTAAACCTGTTGCCTCTCCTTAACTGCTAGGCAGACCCTGTCACTTAACCCCTTCTGTACTCTCAATACTTAGGGCTAACATTTTCTTTTTTTTGTCTTTGTTGCTTTGACATGTGTTGCTTTGCTGTATCCAGTCCCTCTGGAAGACCCGATCAGAGAGCTTGCTGAATTAGTGGATCCTGTACAAGATGAAATGCAGGAAAAGCTCTCCTCAAATAAGCAGGTTACATTTCTTGTATACCGTGATGGAGATCAGATGAATTTCTTTCGTGTGGTGGACAAAAGGAATGTCACTTTAACTCCGTTATCAGAATATCTACGGTAAACCATTTTGTTCCCCAAAACCTAAATATGAAGGGTCATGTGGTCATATTGGTCTTATGAAAATGTGACTTGATGACATAAGTGGCGTTTCCTGTGGATATCGATCCCTTATAACAGGATTTTTTTTATATAGTGCCGATAAGTTACTATCGTCTAAGGTCCTTACCTCACAGACATACATACATACACACACATACTAGGGGAAGTACATTGTGTTTTAATGAGTCAGCTGACTCATAAACTTATATTCTGAAAAGAAGCAGGAGGGCACAATCACTGTGTAATATTGCATAGCTGGGTGTAGAATCGGTATACACTGGTCAGCCATAACATTATGACCACCCCCCTAATATTGAGTAGGTCCCCCTTTTGCTGCCAAAACAGCCCTGACCCATCAAGTCATGGACTCCACTAAACTAAAGGTATGCTGTGGTATCTGACACCAAGCTATAAGCAGCAGATCCTTTAAGTCCTGTAAGTTATGAGGTTGGGCCTGCTGGGCGGGACTTGTTGCTCCAGGACATCCGACAGATGTTTGATTTAATTGAGATCCTGAGAATTTGGAGGCCAAGTCAACACTTCATACTCATTGTGTTCCTTAAACCATTCTTGAACCATTTTTGCAGTGTGGCAGGGCGCATTGTCCTGCTGAAAGAGGCCACTGCTATCCGGTAATGACAGCAAGGGGTGTACTTGGTCAGTAACAATGTTTTTAGGAAGGTGTCATGTGTCAAAGTAACTTGCACGTGCATGGCACAGCCAGTAATTGCTAATTGGCAAGTCCTGGCGTGTCATAATCAGTATACAAAGGAAAACAACATGGTTATTCCTTACTAATAGAACATCAATGGACAGACGTATGTCTGTCCATGTCTGTGGGGTTCACCTGCTCCAGGCTAAGATCGTGTTGATCGCTTGAAGGACTCCTGGCTGGTAATCTTATGCGATATGAGTCCAACCTGGAAATGACGACTGGTCCTACTACAGAAAGAGCCATGACTTTATTGTGAAATAACTGTATTGCCGGCCAGTGGAATGAAGAGCTCTGAAAAGATTTCACTATACACCCGAAGTAAGTGTGAGTACACCAGGCAAAGTCCTGTGATAAGATATTGCGTGCATACTTATGGAACATAATTGTATACAGCTGTAGCCAGAAAATTGGCATTTTCAGCACTTCACAGCAGGATACAGAAGGGTTAAATAACACGAGGGATTGCGATTCTGTGTAGTATGTTCAGATTAATTAAAGGAGAACTATGAGGTGAGTGATTTTCACTCAACCTCATAGTTCGAGCCGACGTGTGACAATGAAACTGTCATATGTCGGCTCAATAGATCGGGAAGTGAGGGGACGCATGCCGTCACTCGCTCACTTCTCGATCATCTCCCTGCAGAGAGCCGTGACTGTCACTCATGGCTCCGTGCAGGGATTCTTCCCGCTCCTGATCCTCCAGCGCTGACTGGCGGAACGGATGGGGGCGGGTACAGCTGGCTCTGCCTCTAGATAGGCAGAGCCAGCTGTCACTCGCACTGCTGGGTGGATCTCGACAATGTCAGGATCTGTCCCGGCTGCGGCGCTCTCAGTATACCGCAAGCTGTAGCTCGCGACATACTGAGCTTTGGGTCACGGGAGGACGCTAGTTTATGTGCTCCCGTGACCCTTAGAACTATGGGGGAATACACTTACCCCCATAGTTCTCCTTTTAGACTGAGGAGTGAAATGAAAGTACAATATTCTGCTATGTTCTGAAACTACGGTATGACCAAACTGCAATGACGTGGCGGATTGTTTATACGTCAAGTGATACTATTCACAAATTGCAACAATTATCGTTACTTTCACTTCTGACAGTCAATTCTGTTTGCAGAAACGTCTGTCCATTGAAGTTCCAGCAGTAAGGAATAACTCTGTTTTTTTTGTACACTGATTATGGCACGCCAGAGCTTGCTAATTCGCAATTACTTTCAGAACCTATACAGAGTGGTGCGTTAGTGCTGTGCGAAAGTGTGCCAGCATGACAACATTGTCAGTTTTTTGATGCGGTGAAGGGTTACAAAAAAAATCATTTCTATGCAATAAATTCTGTGTTTGAGTTTGGTCATCATAGTGACTCCCTTCTCTTTTGGTCATGGTCTTTCGTGACCATAAATGTTTTTGGTGAGACCTTTTATATACATATAAAAATGCTAATATCACAATCCTAATTTATTTAGATCCACAAATTAGTACAGAGCGATATTTCCACTATGATTTAAATTATTGCTATTATATACATATAGCAAATAAATAGTCCATGGTCTATCTCCCACCAAGCCACATACAAGTTAAATACAACTACACAGACTATAATATGTATAACATGATAATTCTCTATTTATTCCTTGCGGTTCTGGAATACATTTTGAATGCAGGGTGAAATAATTGGGAAGGTTGATGTATAATCATATCTGAGAGGCTATACTTGTGTTATGTAAAGTAATCTGTTTCTGTCTTCTCTGTAGTGGCGGTTCAGCCAATAACTTGTATGCTGAAGATGATGATGATGATGATGATATTGAGGCTTCTCCATCTGCCGATCAAATAATAGATAATTCAATCACTAGAATCAAAATGAAGTTGTTGAAATCAAAGATGGAGAGCATGGACCTCAATAAAAAGGTCTTTGAAAAGAAACCAAATGGAAAAATGTCCCTTAATTTGTATTGCGTTATTCATATTACAACTACATTACACAATCTCCCCCATGCACATGAGTACATATCTGTTGTTTTTGTGCGTTCCCACAGTCCCTTTTCAAAATCCTATTTTGGTGGTGTTTTTCTAATTCATTTATAGATGGTGTAAATTGACCCCTACAGGGCCAACCTTCTTTTTCACATTGAGGGGAATTTATCCAAATTGGAGCAGAAAGAATCTGGAGCAGTTGCCCATGGCAACCATCAGCTTCTCTAAAGTTTTAGTTTGTTCAGTTAAGCTTTGAAAATGAAAGATAGAAGCTGATTGGTTGCCATGCACAGCTGCTCCAGATTCTGTCTGCACCAGTTTAGATAAATTGTGGTTTACTCAAGGTCTCAAGAGCAGCAACTCTTCCTTCTGACCCTGTATGCATGGTTCCAAGTACAGCAAGTGTTTTTTGTCTTGCCTTTTTCTTATTCATGGTCTCGGGTGCATGAGTTTTGCACTTCATTCTTCATCTTCCTCTTACATCTCAGTTCATTGTCTATTGTTAAATCTTTCTTTCTTGTGCATAGTCCCAAGTACAGTAATTCTTCTTCATTCCTCTTCTTTTTTTTTTCCCTGTGTTTTTCCTTTTGCCTTTTCGCCTCCCCTCTTGTCTTTTCGCCTCCCCTCTTGTCCTTTTCGCCTCCCCTCTTGTCCTTTTCGCCTCCCCTCTTGTCCTTTTCGCCTCCCCTCTTGTCCTTTTCGCCTCCCCTCTTGTCCTTTTCGCCTC